CCCACTCCCAACCCACCCAAACGCCGCAGCATGATACTGTGGTCCACAGTATCAAAAGCCGCTGAGAGGTCCAAAAGAACTAGGACAGAGGAATAACCCCTGTCCCGGGCCCTCCAGAGATCATTCACCAACGTGACCAATGCCGTTTCCGTGCTGTATCCCGGCCTGAAGCCCGACTGGAGAGGGTCTAGATAGACTGGGAGTCTTTGCACCTGTGGCTGTCCACTGGATATTAGCTACATACTACACATTCTGATCCCAATTTTCCTGAGCTTAGGAGAGGTTCTACAGGTGGTAGCCAGGTACAGTTCTGACTACTTTAAATATCTATCTTCCCTGTTTGTCTGCCACTGAAAACCTTTCCCAATAAACTGAACGCAGAGCAAAGAGTATCCTTACCCAGAGCGGCCATATTCCTAGAAACCTCCAGCATGATTTCCATGCACAAGGCCTTCTGGCCAGAATCCAGAAGTGACCACTCCGCCTCTGTGAAGTCCACAGCCACCTCCTCAAAGGGATCTGAGTCCTAGAAAGAAAAAGAAAATCTTTCCCATAAAACAGCCCTCTCTTAGATTTTCTTTCTTACTTCCAATCAGGGTGGAGAATAATCAATGATTTTTTAAAAAAAATTAAAAAATTGGATTTTATTTAATTTAAATCAGATTTTTTTAATTTAAATCAGATTTTTTTTATTTTTATTAAATTTATTTTAATAACATGCTTTTGGAGTAAATATCTATCTAAATATAGTTTTGTATTTAAGATACATTAATAATTTAGTTTATTCAGCATGAAATGGAGCTTAGTTAGGTAGCATGAGGCTGTATATTCTGCAATATTTACATTTTTGGTATCCAAGCTCTATAACCTGAGATAACATGCACTGCATTGATACATTCACACAATTTCACAGTAACCATGAGATAAGTCATAAAACAAAGATCAGGGATATTCCTTTTTCTCATTGTTTTGCAAATCTATGTACACTACAAACTGTATGATTGTTTGAAGAGAAATGCATCTGTACCAAGCGCTGTTTTAATTAAATAAAAGAATTTGAGTAGTTCTCCAACTATGTGTGATTAAATTATTAACCTAAAATCGGTTCTCGTATCGCTGTTTTACTAAACTGACAGCTTATTATTCTAAATAGGGAACCTTCATTTTCTTTGCAAATAATATTAAAGATTCTAACTACCAGCAAGAATGAGTCCTGACATTTAAAGAGCACCTGTCATTTCAGATCCATCATGGCAGCACCTGTTAGCGAGCATCCACTCACCTGCTGCCTGCCACGTTCCTCATCATGTTGTGTCATTACAGCATCACCAGCCATCCCATTAAAGTGAATGAGACTTTCAGTGAGTCACAGGAGGAGTCGCTGTTGGACAGAGATGACAGTGCTCTTTAAAAATATGATTTAAATTGAGTTGATTTAAATCGAGCATTTTTACTGGTGATTTAAATCGAGCCTTTTTACTGGTGATTTAAATCAAATCCACCCTGCTTCCAACACAGAACAGAGAGTTTTGCAAGAGACAAATGGATATTTTCTTGTAGGACAGACATACCTCCTCCATGCTGCTGTTTTAAAGGCAGAAAATATGATTTAGATGCATCCAAGTTGCAGAATGGTATTCCTTGGGGACCACCCCTCCCCAGGCCTGGAATAAGTCACCATAATGGTTTTGGGTAGAGGAATCCCATGGCCTCATCTCTCTGGCCCAGTAAAATACACATGTGTTAGAAAACAAGAGATACCGACTAAGAATTTTTTACCTGGCCTATTTCAAAGTGTACATGATTCTGGAAATATCAAGTCACTTGACCAACAGTCTTACCATGAAAACATGTCAGCTTTGACTTATGGGACTTTATATGAGAAATTTGTCTATCCTGTAATTTATTTTTAAGTGGATATATTGGCCTATTTCTAAAGCAATTTTTGTACAATTGGTATTGTTTCGCTTCATGGTTTTTATTTTTTATCTCCTTTTCCAAAGTTTTTTCAAAAATATTTAGATAGATAGAAAGACAGAGAGACAGACGGATAGACAAATAACCTTTATTGTAATTTTTTTACTGTGGGCACAATTGCACATATTAAAAATGAAATTTAGTTGCTTGCTTTCAAAGTATACACATACATAACACACATTTAAACATACTATATACAACATAGTATACTTACATGTAAGTAACATATAAATATTATTCACTAAGAAAGATTAAACTGTTCCAACATATATATTACATTTTCTAACTGGGTCATTCTGTGAGGAAACCAGGTTCAAACGCACACGGACTCAGCATTTGGTTTTCAAAGAAGCTCATGAATAGAAGGGGTTTAAAGTTTTCACACAAAAAAACTTAACTTACCTGGCAAGGTGGTCCCAGTTGGATCCTCCTGAAAGAAAGATCTTCAGAATCATTGGATGGATCTCCTCTTCCCTGGAGCTCTGCTGAGATCTCCCCTATGAGTGACTCCTGCAACTGAAGGAATAGCCTGATTTATGATCCACTTTCAAATGACTTTAACCATGTTAATTGGCTGCTTTACCTTTTTCTCTCCAATTGTACTTTTCAAACTCAAGTCAATATAAGAGAACATGAGAACTCCTGCTCTGTGGATAGCTATTATTTCTTGATAATCGCCTGCCATTTTTGTGAAATACTTCACAATTTGTATCTAGTGTTATGGCCCTGTACCAGGTTCACATAATCTAGATGCTTGACTGTATTCGGGTAGATTTAAGTGACAGGAAATCATAACGTATAAATACTGATTTTATGGCATATGTTGATAATATCTGGAAGGATACACAAGTGTATACAGTAAGATAAAGCTCGGTTAAACAGATTATCACAACGGTCCAGGGAAACAATGCTGTGTAATTGTGTTAGTCCTTTTAACTTCCTCTTATATTTCTGTTTCAAATGGTAAGGACAATACGTTTTAAATCTGAAAAGTAGGTTTGCTCAGGGCTCTCTCCTGGTAGCTACAGGTAGAGAGCACCATGCTCAAGTTAAAGGAACATGAATAAAGTATGCTTTGTTTTTTTCTTCAGGGACTATTTTTCTCACAAATCTATTCTATCTACAATGGAAAGCCTGCTTAGAATCGTCTGCAGTGAAAAGTCTGCGGTGGGGAACCACAAGGTTCCGAATATAACTCTTTATTAAGAAAATCTTGCAATTCTGAAAGCATTTTTCAGATCCTCTCCTTGTACTCGCTGGAAAACTATGAATTTTATGGAATTTCCCCTCCCCTCCACCCCCATCAACATGTGGGAATTGAGATACCTTTTGCATTACGGCTGTCCAGTCCATGACAAAGTATGTGGGAATAATGTCCCACAAAGTTATTCCCACAGACTATTACACCATCCCAAGAGGATGACATTCTCTCACCTGCCGCCCCTTCCCGAATTCCTGGGTGGAGGTCGGGCCGAGCAGGAAGCCCTCGGCCAGGGCCACCGCCTGGGCGCAGCTCTCCGCCCCGCACTCCCGCAGCCAGCCCGCCAGATCCGGGGGCAGCAGGGCCAGCAGCTGCTCCAGCACCACCCGGTCCACCATCTCGGCTTTGCCGCTCCGCTCGGGCCGCAGCCACCCGCGGCACAGCCGGCGCAGGCGGCTGCAGAGCGCCCGGGGCCCCTCGTCCTCCCGGTAACTACAGTTGCGGAAGCGCCGGCGCTCGGCCTCGGAGCTGTGGGGCCACTCTGGGAGGCCTCTCGGGCCGCCGTCGTGGCTTTCCCCGGATTCGCCGCCGCCTCCGATCCCTGCCTGAAGGGCCGTTGCTGCTCCCGCCCCCGGAGCCGCCATTCAGCCTCGCGTTGCGGCGAACTCCGAGCGGGGGAAGCTCCCACTGAGGTGGAAAACGGTCACGACGGACTCTCCCCCCACCCGCTCCCCTCACCCTAACCCTTTCCCGGCTGCAGGGGGGCGAGAAAGAGCGGACGCCCGCTTCCTCAGAGCTTCTGAGGCGGAGAAGAGCAGCTTCAAGTCGCTCCCGCCAAAACTTTCCCCGCCCCGCTGCCCATCAAGACACTGGGTCAGAGACGTCTGCCTCCTAGAGAGGCAAAACCCTATTGGGCTCCCTCATTTACACCTAGAGCGTCTCCTACAGCAATTACCCCCTTTCCTGTCCTCTTCGCGTGCCCCGTTCCGTTTGGACGCTGAAAGGAAGCCCCAGTTCTGCTGCTGACAGAACGTTTGGTCCAGAGTGGCTGGAGATGCGAGTGCGGAGAAGGGCTATAAGGGGCTGAGAATGATGGGTGCGGTGGTGATTGAGCAGGGCAGAAATGAGCAAACAGGATTGCATTGCTGCTTCTGGGCAGCTGGGATTTCTTTCTCCGGGAATCCTCTTGGAAACGTGGATGTGTTCCTGGGACAGGTGGAAGAGACATGGATGGTGCTGCAAATCTGATAAAAAGAGCCCGGGACAGCCACACAGGGACTACGTTTATTTATTATTAAATATGCAATCGATTCATGCTTTGGGGAGTCCTTCAGGCCCCTTTATTTATCCTATTGCCTTTATTACTATGATGGGACTCAATGAAAGACACCCAAAGGTGATTTTTGAAGACAACTGGATTTTGACTTTCCTCTTCAGTCCTCAGCTTCTTGGATGAGAAGCGAAACGCCTTCAAGCAAAAACAAAATCCAGTTGTCTTGAAAAAACATCTTTGCGATGTGGGAAGTCAGCCCCCCAGAGAAGGAAATATTAAAAGGGCAGAAAAATATATTTTCTCAAAGGATCTTGAAGAGGCAGGAAAGCATGCCCAGTTTTCTAAATAGCCCCAGGCCTCCCTCCCCAAGCAGGAACCAGCTCTATAGAGATGCAGATGTAAATCCAGGGAGCTAGGAGATTAAGACAAAGACCTAAATCTATATTGGAAGATTTACCCTGACAAAACTACCATATTCTCATCCCCATTAGAAAAACATGCAGAAACACTTTTTTCTCTGTAAAAGCCCTTTTTCTGAAATCCTGGGCATACCACCAAGAACAATGGGAAAACTCAGATAGCAAAGCTATCAAGAACTATCTGCCCTGCCCCTGATGGGATTAACTCCCAAAATAGAATCAGGACAAAGGGAACATCCCTAAGGAGAACTACCTGCCCTGCCCCTGACAGGATTAAACCCCCAAAAATAGATAGATAAAATAGACAAAGGAGATACCACTTAGAACAAAGAACATCAAGCAACCATTAAAAACACAAAAGAAAGAGCCAGGCCAGCCACAGCCCCAGGGTAGAAAAAATATATAAAAAGCCACACATGGGACCAGGGGTTAACCTTGTAAGGCAGGAACACTGAAGTCACTTTATTGCCTTCCTGTAATAAAGACCTGCTTTGCAGTAGCTATTGTTCTCAAATTTCTTCATTATCGGCTTTCCCCAGCTGGAAATGAACCGGGAAATTCTTCTGACATCTACATACCCCATCCAAACTCTAACAGTCATCAGCCACAGGGAAGCAGGATATGACCTTTCAACATAATAAGATTGACCCATCACCATCAGAATACCAGAAAGGCACACTCAGACTCAGGTCAAAGTTCATGCCACAGGAACAACTCCAAACAAAAGGCTCCAGAGGGTATAAAAACCTACTCCCTACATGGGTTCATCCCTTTCTTTCTACTTCTCTTGCTGCCAGAACCATCTTCCTATCTTGCTCTCCTCTCCAATAAACTATAACCTTCTTCCCAAAGTAGTTGCCATGTTTATTCCCAGCTTGGATGAACCACGATGAAGACTTTTCTTCCAACAGCGACAACCAAAAATTAAGCCTTTCAGAACGCCACAGAAGTGGCAGTCAAGAATGCATGCGTACCCGCACATCCCCACTTATGTAAGGACCAGGCAAATGCACAGATGTTTCCACAAACTGGGAAAGGTTGGGGAAATTCTGCCCTGGATGACAGAGAATCTCCATAGATTCAGTAAAGGAATCCCCCATTTTCTAAAGAGTACAATCTGCCCTACATCTTTTCTGTTTTATATCTATTTCTGTTCTGTTGAAGTCTTGACTTTTTGTTCACCTTTTCTGCTTGATCTTTCCTGCCTGGTGGATTTTGAAGAGTTGATCTGGTTTCAAGGGCCTGCACTACCTTAAAAAACTGAGAAATTGACCTCCTGAAGTGGCTTTGTCCCCCAAGCTGGACTCAAATATGGGGCTCGGTATCGCTGACCATGACAGGATGAGATGGTGAAAAAAGAATACACAATAGTGGACTGTAGAATTACAGGACATAAGAATTTATTAGCAAGGTTCCAAGACTGTAAAAGTATAGAGTTTCTTTTCCAAAATGTATTCAGAAGCTCAAGTAGTGAGGAACAATTGCCTTGGCAACTGCTCAAAAAGAGGTGTCTTTCTGGGGCTGCTCTCAGTCCTCCTTCTGGTCGGAAGATAACAAAGGGAAAGGAGAAGACTTGTTCAGATAAATCTTAAGAGGACAGAAAAGTACAAGACCACCGTTTTGTGGGAATTAACATAACTGAAGATCAAAATGCTTTCTAAATTTGATAAATGCATGTGGATTCTGTTTTATATATAGTTTCTTAGGTAAATTATGAGAGAAATCAAGGAAACCATCAATCCTCTGGTTGGAAATGATAGTGAAATGGTGATGGGCAAAAAGCAGGAAACTGAAGAGTGTAATTTCTTTTTTGCATCCGTTTCCACAGCATTGGGAGGGGAGAGAAATGCAAGTCAAAATAGGCAACAGAAATCCTGGCTGCACTAAATGAATTGAAATATTTGGGAGGAAGATTATTCTGAAGCTACTTCCATGAATTTATATAGTTTCTTCTGTGGACATCATTTTATGGGAATTATGGTGTCCTTCCCAAGTTTAGCTTTTCCACACTCTTTGCATTTACATGATTTCTTCTGTGTGGAGGCCTTTCCACTTTGTCCATTTAGGTTTCTTCCCTAAGTGGATCCTTTTAGGATGAATAAAATTTTCTTTCTCAATAAAAATTATATCCACACTCCTTGCAATATATGGATTTTCCCAAGTGTGGATTCTTTCATGAGTAAATGTCTTGTGATTGTTAAAGCTTTTTGCACGCTGCATGCATTTATATGATGTCTATTCTCTGTGGATCCTTTTATGAGCATTAAGTTGTACTGTTTGAGCAAAGCTGTTTCCACATTCTACGCATTTATAGGGTGTCTCCCCTGTATGGATTCTTTCATGATTAATAAGATAAATTTTCCGAGTAAATTGCTTTCCACACTCCTTGCACTTGTATGGTCTCTCCCCAGTGTGGATCCTTTCATGACAAATAAGATCGCTGTTCCAATGAAAGCTTTTTCCACACTCCAAGCATTTATACGATCTCTGCCCTGTGTGGATTCTCTCATGAAAATTAAGTTTTCCTTTCTGAGCAAAGCTCTTTCCACATTCTGTACATTGAAATGGTTTCTCCCCTGCATGGATTGTCTCATGGAAATTAAGTTGTCCTTTCTGAGCAAAGTTCTTTCCACATTCTGTACATTGAAATGGTTTCTCTCCTGTATGGATTCTTTCATGAATAATAAGACCACTTTTCTGAGTAAATGTTTTTCCACATTGTATGCATTTATATGGTCTCTCCCCAGTATGGATCCTCTTATGATAAATAAGTTGTGAGTTCCAAAGAAAGCTTTTTCTACACACCGTGCATTTATATGGTCTTTCCCCCTTGTGCATCCTTTGGTGGAAAGTAAGGCGCCATTTGTGAATAAAGCTCTTTCCACACTCCAGGCATTTATATGGTTTGTCCCCTGTGTTGATCCTTTGATGGCAAGTAGTATCACTACTCTCAGTGAAATTCTTTTTAAACTCCTTGCAATTATATATATTTTCAATTGTGTGGATCCTCTGATGGTGAGTCAGACTACGCCTTGTACGGAAGTCCCTTCCACATTCTGTGCATTTAAATGGTCTCTTCCCTGTGTGGATTCTTTCATGATCATTAAGATATCCTTTTTGAGCAAAGCACTTTCCACATTCCATGCATTTATATGGTTTCTCCCCAGTATGTGTCCTCTTATGACGAATAAGTTCTGTGTTCCAAAGAAAGCTTTTTCCACACTCCGTGCATTTATACGGTCTTTTACCTGTGTGGATCCTTTTATGAGAGTTAAGTTTTCCTTTCTGAATAAAGCTCTTTCCGCACTCCAAGCATTTATATGGTTTGTCTCCTATGTGGATTATTTGATGGGAAGTAGTATCACTACTCTCAGTGAATTTCTTTCCACGCTCCTTGCAATTATATGGTTTTTCTCTTGTTTGGCTCCGCTGATGGCGACTCAGATTATACTTTGTATTGAAGGCTTTTCCACATTCTGTGCATTTATAAGGTCTCTCCCCTGTGTGGATCCTTTCATGACGAGTAAGTTGGGCTTTCCGAGTAAATGTCTTTCCACACTCTATGCATTTAAATGGACTCTCATGTGATTGGATTCTCTGATGGCAATTAAGTTTACTCTTGCTACTGAAGCTCTTTCCACATTTCATGCATACTTTCATTTTTTTGCTTAGACTGAAATCCCTCTCATAGTTTGCAAACCTTTGTGGTTTCCTATCCATTATTTTAGGTAAAGTAAAAGAGAAAGAATGGCTCTTTGTAGACATTGTCAATGACATCATCTGCTTTTCATTCTCATTCTCCAATCCATTACCATCACCATCACCTGATTGGGAAAAAACAACAACAGAAATTCTCATTAGAATTTAAAATGATGTCGGGGGGGGAGAGGTTGTCTCACTCTGTCAAAAAATATGCCCATCTAAGTATCAGGTTGGGTGCCAGCCATTTATCAAACTAGGAGATGTTGGGTTGAAATTGTTATCTAGGGATATTCCAATGGTATCCATGAGATTTTTCAGCCCTGAACAAGATTAAGGCTTTGCTGCTGAATCAATCTACTCAAGCATTTCCATGGAGCTTCTAAGGCCTTTCACAACACTACCGTGAGCATTCTGCCAAGGCCTTAGTTGTTTTCTAGAAGAGAGGCTGTAATGACAACCTTGGACAAAATTGCCGATAAAGTGGCTTGGCTGGTTTGTGATCCAGGAGACCCTGGGGTTAAAGAGAACCAAAGGCTAGTGTATGGGACTCTTTGCTCCTGTGACTGTCCACTGGATATTAACTACATACTATACATTGATGTACTTGTCTTTGCCCCCTCATTTTGGTCAGATCAATCTGGTGTCAATGAGCTTCTTGAGAGATGAACCCCCTCAGGGAGGCAGGACCTGTTGGATTGTTATGCCCCCGGCCACTACTGGACCCAGAGGGGTTCCAGAAGGAACTGGGGTTTATAACCGCAGCTCTGCTGCGCAGTCCAGCCAAGGTCTTAGTCACGGTTTAGAATAGGAAGGTGACCGAGGCTCTGGATAGGATTGTGCCCATGCAACCTCTACTCAATCATAGACCTCTCTGTTCTCCGTGGTATACAGAGAAATGAAGAGGGATTAAAGGACGAGGGGGGACATGATAGCAGTGTTCTAATATCTCAGGGGCTGCCACAAAGAAGAGGGAGTCAAGCTATTTTCAAAGGCTCCTGAAGGCAGGACAAGAAGCAATGGGTGGAAACTAAGTAAGGAGAGAAGCAACCTAGAACTAAGGAGAAACTTCCTGACAGTTAGAACAATTAACCAATGGAACAACCTGCCTCCAGAAGCGGTGAACGCTCCAACACTGGAAGTTTTTAAGAAGAGACTGGACAGCCACTTGTCCGAAATGGTATAGGGTTTCCTGCCTGAGCAGGAGGTTGGACTAGATGACCTCCAAGGTCCCTTCCAACTTTACTACTATTACTAAATAGATGAAGAGATGTCTAGATTGCCACTGGCAAAACACAAGGGATGACTTATCAAACACGGTTAAGAGCTGCTATTAAGGCCTACCTCATGGTAATTCACGCGGTGCAGTATAAATACTTCGCACTAATTGTGTCTGCAGATAATCAACCAGTGACCCCCCTTTAAGGTGAGCCATCTCTTCCTGGGGAAGTGTCTGGGAGTCTTTGCGCCTGTGGCTGTCTACTGAATATTAACTACATAATATACATTCTTATCCTGGTTTTCCTGAGATTAGGAAATGTTTTACAGGTGGTGGTCAGGTAGAATTCTGACCACCTTAAGCATTTGAGTGCAGGTATCTTCCCTGTTCACCTGCCACTGAAAACAGCTTTCCCAATGGAACCCAGAACAAAGAGGGTCCTTACCCAGAGTGGCCATATTCTTAGAAACCTGCAGCATGACTTCCCTGCACAATGCCTTCTGATCAGAATCCAGCAGTGCCCACTCCTCCTCTGTGAAGTCCACAGCCATCTCAACAGGATCAGTGTCCTAGAATGAAAAAGAAAATCTTCCCTATAATTCAGTCCTCTCTTATGTTTTCTTTCTTACTTCCAAAACAGAAAAGAGAGCTTTTCAAGAAACAAAATGAACATTTTCTTATAGGACAGACATATGCCATGTAGGTGCACATAGTTCTTAAGGGTGGGAAGCCCGTCTACATGCTCCATGCTGATGTTTTAAAGGCACAAAACACGGCTTAGATGTATCCAAGTTATAGAATGGCACTCCTTGGTGACCTGCCACCCCAGCCTGGAATTAAGTCACCAAAATGGTTTGGGACAGGAGAATCCCCTGGCCTCATCTCTCTGGCCCAGTAAAATACAACATTCTTAGAAAACAGGAGATACCTATGAATTTTTTACCTGGCCTATTTCAAAATCATTGCTTCAGACAGGAAGGCGGTGCAGAGAGTGGTGAGGATGGCTGAAAAGATCATTGGCAGTTCCCTTCCTTCCATCTAGGACATAGCACATAAGATTTGCTTGAGCAGGGTCAGCAAGATTGTCTGGGACACTACACATCCTCTTCACGTGTTTTCCTTGTTACCTTCTGGGAGGAGGCTTCATGGTATCCGAAGCAGAACATCCAGATTCAGTCACAGCTTTGTTCCATATAATATTAACCTTGTGAATTCTAAAGTTTTCTCCTTCCATTATTTATTCAAAATGGACAGGGATTAATATTTATATGTTACTTATATGTAAGGGTGTAGGTCTATACATATGTTGTATATAATATGTTTTAAATGTGTGTTATGTATGTGTACATTTTGAGAGCAAGCAAATAAATTTCATTTTTAATGTGTTCAGTTGTGCCCACAGGAAAAAATGACAATAAAGGTTATCTTATTTTATCTTATATGATCCTGGAAATCCAAGTCACTTGACCAACAGTCTTACCGAGTGGTGGCGAATCTATGGCACGGGTGCCAGAGGCGGCACTCAGAGCCCTTTCTGTGGGCACACGTGCCGTTGCCCCAGCCTTGCCTCCCCCCGTGACCCCCTCTCCAGCAGCCCCCCTGGAGAGTTGCCCTCGAGTGTGGCGCACACGGAGCAGCGCAGTCAAGGACATGGCAGCCAGACAGCGTAGACAAGACTCTGCCCTCACACCCCATCATGCAGTTGATGCTGCAGGGCACGGGCAAAGGGCATGGCTGTCATAGCGCTGCTGGGCTGCCTGGGCGGTCTGCGGTGGGCCCTGGAGGCAGTGAGTGGCCCTGTGGGCAGGTGGGGCGGGGATGGGGGGCAGAGCGGGGGGGGGGTGGAATGGGGGCGGGGCCAGTTTTTGGGCACTCGGTCTCTAAAAGGTTCGCTATCACTGGTCTTACCATTAAAACTTCCATCTTTGACTTAGGGATCTTC